TTGTTATTGTCCTTTACAGACTTTTCATTGTTAGTGTATAGAAGCACAACTGATTGTTATGTGTTGTTCTTTCTTGTACTCTGCAACTTTTCTGAATTCATTCATTAGCTCTAGTAGCTTTCGTGTCATCTGCAAATAGAGTTTTACTTCTTACTTTCAAATTTAGATACATTTTCTTCCTTCCTTTCTTCTTTCTTTCTTTCCTTCCCGCTCTCCCTTGCTCCTCTCCTCCCTCTCTTCATTCTTTCTCTCTCTTTTTTGCCTAATTGCTCTGGCTAGAACATCCAGTACAATGTTCATAGCGGTGGACATCCTTGTCTTGTTCCTAATCTTAGGGGGAAATATTTCAGTTTTTCACCATTGAGTATAATATTAGCTGTGAGTTTTTCATAAATACCCTTTATCATGTTGAGGAAGTTCCCTTCTATTCCTAGTTTGTTGAGTGTTTCATCATAAAAAGGCATTGGAATTTGTCAGATGCCTTCTATGAATCAATTGAGACGATCATGTGGGTTTTTTTTCTTTCATTCGATTAATGTATTACATTTATTGATGTTTTTATGTTGAGCTATTTCTGCATTCTTGAGATAATTCCCACTTGGTCATGATGTATTATCCTTTTACAATGCTGTTGGATTCAATTTGCTAATATTTTGTTGAGGATTTTTTGCATCTGTATTCACCATATTCATAAGGGATATTGGTCTGTAGTTTTCTTTTCTGTACCTTTATCTGGCTTTGGTATCAGGGTAATCCTGGCCTCATAGTATGGATTAAAACGTGTTCTCTCCTCTTCTGTTCTTTGGAAGAATTTTAGAAGAATTGGTGTTAATTCTTCCTTAAATGTTTGCTAAAATTCCCCAGTAAAGCTATTGGTCTGGACTTTTTGTTGTTGGGAATTTTTGATTACGGATTCATTCTCTTTACTTGTTATAGGTCTATTGAGATTTTCTGTTTCTTCTTGAGTCAGTTTAGATAACTTGTGTTTCTAAAACATTTTCGATTTCATCTAGGTTATATAATTTGTTGATTTACAGTTATTCATAGTACATTCTCTTATAATCCTTCTTATTTCTGTAAGGTTGATAGTAATGTCCCAACTTTCGTTTCTGATTTTTGTTATTTGTGTCTTCTTTCTTTTTTCCTTTGTCACTCCAGCTAAAGGTTTGTCAGTTTTATTGCTCTTTTCAGAGAACAAACGTCTGGCTTCATTTATTGTCTCTATTCCTATTCTCTATTTCATTTATCTCCACTCTATGCTTAGTGCACAAGGCAGTGGGCTTTGTAGTCAAAAGATGTGTCTCTGAATTTGCTTCACAACCTCGTAGCCAAATGACCATGGGCAACTGCTTAACTTTGCTAAACCACACGTGGCTCAGTGGAGATTATAAGACGGGGAGCTATCATAAGAAGTAACTGGTGCTCAGTACATATTTATTTCAGTTGTTGTGGTAGTATTTTTGATTTTAGAATCCCTTTTTCTCCCTTCCTGTGATGAAGAACACACTGAGCTCTACATTTCACTCCTGTGCTCTGGCCTCTAAAGCCTGGCTCCATTTGGCCCCGCAGCTAGAGGTTGAATGAGGTCAAAACTATTTTCTTTCTGTTGTCAGCCCTTAGGGCTAAGTCCACTGTTGGGCACATACTCAGGTTTTTATGGACCCATTTTGTTTTCTTTGACTTATCTGGGGGATTGGGAAACTGCTGGAGGTGTGAGAGCAAGGGTGGCTTTGCTCTAATTTTCAATGTGTCTAAACATACTCCTGCCCCAGTCTGGTGGGATTTAGGAATGAGGATGACTGGGGCTTCCAACTAAGGCAGCCCCCTGTGTAATCACTCCTGATTGGTTTCAACCCCCCGTAGGACTGTGTGTGGTGAGGTGAGAGTGGGAGAAGGGGGGAAAGTCACGCACGACTCTTAGATAGTCCAGGATACCTTCAGGAGACTCAGCTGGTTTTCATGTCACTGTGGAAACTCAGTTCCACTCCAAAAATGCCAGGGCCTTGAAGATTACTTGAATTCTGATTCAGCTCCAGAATATTTCCAGTAATCTGGACCCTGTGAAGGATTTGGGTGGACTAAATTTTTTTTGTGTGTGTTCCTCTCTAGAGCAGATTGCTATTTCCATGTCCCACTCCTAACACACATTCACATACCCTCCCCATAGATTGCTGGTTTCTGTGAGTGGGGAGGAGCAAGGCATGGGGAAAAGAGGATAAGGAGGGGAAGGTGGATGTTATTCATCAACTTGGCTTATTCCTATGAGAGAGATCATCTGGTCATTCTTGCTGGTTTCCTGCATAGCCTCCAGGGGTGGTTCTAAGAAGAAGTGAGTCAGAGAGCAAGAAGGAGTGGAGAGAAAAGAGGATAGCAAACTGTACATCAAGTAATTGAATTGGGGGTTCTTCGTGTAAAAATTAACACCTTTATATAGTTTTTCCCCCTACAAACCCTACTCAATTAGGTTATGAACCCCACTTACTTTTAGATGAAAGAACTGAAATCCAGATAGGTGAAGTCACTTTCCCAAGACCACAAGCGAGGTAGACATAGAATCTGGACAGAGGCCTGCCTCCTGACTCACTAGGTAGTCTTCTCACTGCATCATGGATGGTTGCTCAGACTCAAGGCATTGCTGCGGATTCCACTTTCATAGCAGCCTCAGAGTCTATTTCCTCTTCTCCTTCCTCATTGCCATTGTCCTGTGCCAGGGCTTCATGACCTCTCACCTGGCAACTGCCTCCTATCTGGTCTTTAGCCAGGTCACCCCACTCTAATCTCTCCCAACCACCACTGCTAGATTAATCTAACACACAGCTGTAACGGGAACATCCCTGTGAAAAACTTTCAATGACTATCTATTACCTGATTTATTAAGTGTTAAAAAACCCTTTAGCCCAGCATTCATGGCCTGCCAGTGCACTAACAGCATACCTTGCACTCTAGCCCAAACCACCATGTGCTCTTAACAGTCCCTGTACTCTTCTCCCTCTGTCTTAGCTTCTGTGCCTTCTTTAGGAAAGCTTTAGCTAAGCCCCACCTAACTACATGTCCATTCGTCTGAGTTCCTCAGTGAATGAATACAATGCCACCCCACCATGAAGCCTCCGACTCCTCCAACTCGAAAATTCTGTAGCTGTTTATCACATTTTACTTTGTACTGTGGTTCTGTAAATGTATATCTTATCTCTACTATTAGACAGAGCTCCTTGAGGACAATGACCTCTATCTTGCTCATCTTTTAACTCCCAGAACTTAGCACAAGGGTGACACATAATGTATACTCAGTGAATATTATGTAAAGGAATGAATTCTTCCTATAATAACAGGCTGTGCTACAATGTATATTTTTAGTTTGAGTGGTTGTCTTCAGATTGTAAACTCTTTTTATAGTAGAAACTTTATTTTTTCTAGAAAATATCTCACATATTGCTCTCAGACCTCCATAATCCATGTAATGATAAACACAATTAACTACTAGGCTAGGTGAATGGCATTAACTCAGTAAAAAAAATTTAAAACAAAAGAAACCCTCCAATTCCCTTCTTCACTGTAGTTGCTAATTAGATATTGAAAGGAATAACAGAATTCTCCAAAGATCTCTGAAATGTTTATGAATCCATGTGACTTATTAGTTAATAGAGCTTATTAGATTCTCAATAAGCTCTCGGTGCAAATAGCACGAAGACCACACATAACCAGTCACATTGACCTACCTTTGCTGGTAATTAAGTGCACACCAGGGATATGTTAACAAAATGTATTCATTGTTTGAAGTTTTTAAAATCAAGGAGAAATAAAGCATCAAACTTATTGCAGATAAAGAGGCATGGATTTCTTTCTCATTTTTGGTCCGATTTTAAATTTTTAAATAAAAGATATATTAAACAGTTGTTTCACAACATCCTAGCAAATTCCACAATTGATGTTATGATCCAAGAGCAAATGTAAAATATCAGAAATGACAAGGGAAACTATCATTTAAAAAAGTCTATATGGAGGAAGAGACAAATTCAACTGAATTGTAGGTGTTTTAGAAGCAGATAAAACACAAGGATGGAAGCAGGACTCCATTTTCACTTCAGGTGTTAATGGCCCTGATACCTGTTTCCCACTGTATGGCAAAATGACAGAATGGGTCTTCTAGTCCATGTGCCAGTTACTACCTCATTGCTGCAAACTAAATTAAAATTTTTAAAGACTGTCGAATTTTCTTTGTGTTTTTGGGTGTGTGTAGAGGTTGTGCTGATGAGGTACAGGATGATTAGAGGGTTAGAGAAGAGGGATAACAATGTGGAAAAGAAATGTACATACTAGAGTTTTACTCTACAACTTTTTTTTATATATCATCGGTCGGTGTTGAATTTTTTTTTTTTTTTTTTTTTTT